TCACTAACTGTGCAACAAACCCATCCTGCATCAGCAATGAAAAACTCATATGAAAAACTCATATGAAAAAAAAGTGCGAAACCTCAGGGAGACCCATAGTTTGAGAAAAGGATCTGCTTCACTCAAGTGTTACCTTTTGGAAAATAGGGCGCCATACCACCTTTTCATCACATGATACTACATGTATCACCCTGATTGGACGTAGTAGGTCCATCCTCCTCCCAACCCCTTCATCATGATTCGTTGTTAGTACACCCTCCCACCCCCTTCAGCATGATTCGCTTACACTGTTTGCTTCAGGTTGATAGGCCTGGGGCAGGTCCACCCCTGCCGCATGATTCGCTATTAGCACGTCATCCCTAACCTGTGCATCACTGTTTGTTTTAGAATAAACATGGTGTACCGTGGGCGGCACGGTGGCTGAGTGGATAGCACTCTCGCCTCTCAGCAAGAAGGTCCTGGGTTCGAATCCCGGTCGGACCAGGGCCTTTCTGAGTGGAGTTTGCATGTTCTCCCCGTGTCTGCGTATGTTTCCTCCGGGTACTCCGGTTTACCCTACCACAAAAAATATGTCCAATAGTTCTGGCATGCGCCTCCTGTACTGGCGACCCCGCTCCCATCTCTGTGTGGAGTGAGAGACAAATGCCCAAAATTAACAATTGTAAACCGCTTTGAGACTCAGATCTGCAGTGAAAAGGCGGTATATAAATAAAAACTTACTTACTTACTTACTTACATCTTAGATAACAGTGAAGCATTTGTTTTACCACACACACACACAGGGTCAACCAGAGGACAACTCATTAAACATTCAAAGTGACACCTCTTGGAAAATACAGTGCAGTAACACCTTTCACCACTTGCTCAATAGCGCTCTGAGGAGTTCAGGTGCAGTACCACCTTTTCACCACTTGCTCAATAGCACCAACACATATATCTACTGTGGCATTTGTTAAAGTTTAGTCTCAAATTGTAGCTTGTTGCTCTCTCTACAACCTTTTTCAATATCCGGTCATGTTCTTTCAGGCTTGGTGCTGCAATGAGAATATCGTCCATAATGCCAGTTGCTCGTTTGATGCCCTCCAGCATTTGGTCCATGATGCATTGACATATCTCAGGTGCACATTTTATTCCAAATGGTAGTCTCAGCCATCTGAATCTTCCTATTGGAGTGTTGAATGTAGTACAGAAAACACCTTTGTATTGGGAATGGTTGACACAACTTCTTCTATTGTGCGCATTGGATAGTGCTCTTGTTTCATAGCATTATTTAAATCACTCGGATCGATGCAGATTCTGATTTTATCTTTATTTGTGACCACCACCATAGAACTGACCCATTCAGTTCATGCACCATCTCATTTAGTTTTTCAATTATCTTGGCTCTGAGTGCGACTGGCTGTCTACGCAGGGTGTACGACAGGTTTAGCCTCTTTATCAATCTTTATTGTGTACTTCCCTGGTAGTGTTCCTGTTGTGCGAGTCAGCTCTGGAAAGTTCTCCAGACCATCGGGTGCTTTTGGAACTGTGTCGGTGCTCACTTTGTTATTTAGCCCACTATCTTGTAAAGAATCCAGCCTCACAATAAGACCTAGTGCCTCAGCTGTAGTGCCACTCAACACATTTTCTTGTGCAATGTCCACGATTTCAAATTCTGCTTTGGTTTTGTGCCCTTTGTGTTTTAGCGGAAGGTCGACTGCAGCAACAGGCTTTATTTTGTGGTTTGAGTAGGTTTTGAGCAACCTTTTTGATGCTTTGAGCTCACCTGTGTGCTTTATGGACTGGTAACAGTTCAGAGTCAGTGTGTTACACTTTGCACCTGTATCTATCCTAAACTGCACCTTCTGACACAATATGTATGTGTCCACCAACCACTTATCATCTGCCAGTATTGCGACTGGAATGGCATCTGTTGTCAGGTTAATGTTGAGTATTTCCTCTTCACTTTCACTTGAGGATTCTACATTCACTGCACTTAAAGGACAACTCACCCTCAAATCCACTTTTTTTTGCTGATAAATGATTTAAATGAGTGTCCAATAGTGTTGTCTACATATCCTGGTCATAATTTTTTCACTTTGGTGCAAATTAGTTGAAAGTTAAACTTTCTGCCTAAAACCGTCTGTGAGGCGCCATTGCTGGTGACCTGTATTACTACATTTTAATTTTGAATCTGGCGCCAACACTGGCGTGGCAGCAAGACTTGACGTCTGAAGCAAGACCTGACGTCAGCAGCCCCCCGCACAGAGCAATGTAAACGCCCAGTCTCGTTCACGGCCCTTTAGTCCTCCAGGCTACGCCCATTTAGAGGAAGATTTGAACAGGAAATGTGAGTGACGTAAGCTCCGAGGAGCGGGGGTGAGAACCACTTTAATGAGCGACTGCGACACACCGCCGCCCAGTGGTTTGGCTTGTTACAGCATGAGCAAATCGACCCTTTTGCTGGACATTTACCTTGGTTCCACTTGTGTTTGGGGTCTTTTCCACATTTTCCACAGCTTTTATATTTTTGTACTGTTGGTGTGTACTCTTGCTGAACGTGGTTGTATGCCTTTTTGCTTTGTGTGTTAAACTTGACTTTGCTTGACAAAGCAGACACTTGTGAATCCTCCTCTCTCACAATTATCATCTGCGTTTGAGACATTTCGAACTGCTGGGGAATTTCAATGGCTTTGGCTAGCGTTAGCTCTTCACCTTTTTCAAGCAGTCTCTCCTGGACACGTTTCTTTCTCACGCCCGCTATGATGGCATCAACTAGCATGTCATCTGCGTCAGCATACTCACAGTCCAGTAATAAAAGTCTCAAATCTTTCACAAAGTTGTCAAATGTTTCTGTTGAACCCTGTTTTCTTTGTTTGAAACAGTGCCTGGCGATCCTCTTGTTTTTCCGCGGTCTAATATAGCCTGCAAACTTGTCAAGCACTTTATCAGGGTCGTCTTTTTCACCATCAGCCCACTGGAGTGTCTTGTATATTTCTCTTCCTTGCTCCCCGATCCATGTACCAATCCACCCCGCCTTTTCCTTGTTCTCCCGCGCGGACAGAGGACCGGCGAACACGAAGCCAACATGGCTGCGGAACCGCTGGAACTCCTGATATAAATCCGCCGCCTCCCAGTCTATTTTGGGGAATTCAAACTGCATTGTCATGGTCACGCAGGTACTTACTGCTCTCGACAGTCTTCTGACACCATGTAAAATACTTAAAGGAATTCGTATTACTGACTCATGTACAAGAGCCGGAGGAGCGTTACTTCAAGTGTGTTTATTTCACCAGTTCTCTCTACGGGTAGCCCCAGGGACATAAATGCAGTTGCGCACTAGCCATATGATGCATACATTACACATACCACCTTTCTGTTCTTTCCAGATTACCACACACCCATTCATCTGCAATATACCTGTGCCCTCCTCATCAATAAACATCCCAACTGTGCACCTGGAATTTCCCTGTTCCTTCTGACCGAGCAAGACTCCGTAGACGGCCGTATCTGTTATCAGCGCATCTAGACGCTCACAGTATTTAGTAGTAGTATAAAATCTCTATCTTGAAAATAATAATGATAAAAAGATTTGTAAATGTGTTACATTTGGCTAAATAAGAGGCAAGTATGTATTCTATTGCAAGCAATATGTATTTTATGTTAGCATCTGTACATTAGCAGCAGTAGTAAGTAAGTAAGTAGTCTTTATTTATATACCGCCTTTTCACTGCAAATCTGAGTCTCAAAGCGGTTTACAATTGTTAATTTTTGGGCATTTGTCTCTCACTCCACACAGAGATGGGAGGGGCCAGTACACGAGGCACATGCCAGACCTATTGTACACATTTTTAGTGGTAGGGGAAACCGGAGAACCCGGAGGAAACCTACGCAGACACGGGGAGAACATGCAAACTCCACTCAGAAAGGCCCTGGTCCGACCGGGATTTGAACCCAGGACCTTCTTGCTGAGAGGTGAGAGTGCTATCCACTCAGCCACCGTGCCGCCCAGTATGTTTACATCTGTACATTAGCATTAGCAGCAGTATGTTTACATCTGTACATTAGCAGCAGTATGTTTACATCTGTACATTAGCAGCAGTATGTTTACATCTGTACATTAGCAGCAGTATGTTTACATCTGTACATTAGCAGCAGTATGTTTACATCTGTACATTAGCAGCATGAGGCTCTGGGACACAGGGACTCAGTAAAGTGACAGTGACATGTGGTTATTGCACATTCTGATATTAGTTAAGGATATTGCAACGAGGCATGACATGCAAGATCAGGTTGGCAGTGTTCATTAGTCCTAATTGTTTGTTGTACAGTCTGACAGTAGAAGGAAGGAAAGACCTGCGGAAACCAGTCCTTCACACATTGAGGATGAATCAGTCTGTCACTGAAGCTGCTCTGGAGAGCAGCTTCAGTGACAGTGCCCTGCAGGGGGTGACAGTCATGGTCCAGGTGGGGGACAGGAGGGTTTTTCCAGGACCCACCTGCTGCACTGTGTCCAGGGAACAGCCCAGGACAGAGCTGGACTTTCTGATGACCTTGTCCAGCTTCTTCCTGTCCCTCTGTGATGCTGCTGCTCCAGCAGACCACGCCGTACAAAATGGCTGATGCCAGTCATAGAAGTAGTTGACTAATTGTTGCAGCCCTAATGAAGGGATGTGTCTTGAACGGCTCTCCAAACAGCTGATCATCAACTCTAACTTGTACATATGGTTTCAAGTCACAAAATGAATGATGGGTTGATGCAATATAATGAAGAGATCCTTTATAAGTCCCACTGTGGGGAAATGTCAGTTTTTCACCAGTTACAGAACAGTAGGAATGAGGAGCACACAGCACAAGATACATTAACAATAACTTTATACTAGAATAAAATAAAGTCAAACAAAATCACTGACTTTCATATAAAAGAAGCAAGTATAATATCTCTAGCTTTAGTGCAATACGGAAGCAAATCTCAAATCATCACGACTGGACTGTTGTAACAGCCAATCTTATTTGTCAAATCAGATTTGTCTGCTGCCAGACTTCTGCTGTGACCTCTGACCTGCACGAAAGGGGAGGGCATGTTACTCCTACGCTTATGTGAGCACTGCCACCATCTGAAACAGCTTCTCGTCAGCTGTTAAATTGTTGATTGTGTCTTTATTCTTGGCTAGTTTGTTCAATAGCAATTGCTTTCTTGCTCTTTTCAAGTTTCTTTGAGCTTTTTTAAAAATGCACCTGTTTTGTCCACTGGATCGACACAGCATAAACTTCTTTTAACTTTGCACAGCCCTACAAGACGATTGCTGTTGTGATTTACGGCAATACACAAATCAACTGGATTTAATTGAATCAAATTTTTGGAGAAAAGTATTTTTTGGGTCTGGCGTTTCTTTTGGTGTTTCTGGCCGTCGGGTTTTTGTTGTAGGGAGGAATGATTGGTAGACAACATTTAAATTTCTAATATTAGTCACGCATGCCATTTATGTGCACCCCTATTTTTAATTATTTCTAAAACAATAAACGCTAAACATCGTCCAGATGAGGAGAGTCACAGAGGCCACTGCTCAATTTGAAAGTGAAGAAAGGACAAAGTTACATGTTGGCGCATACATTTTATTGTAATTTCAAACTTTGGACATACATGTGACTACAGTAATATCCTGTGATTTTTAGAAGGTTTGAAGAAATAGAAAAAGAGATTACATTTAATTTCAAGTGTTCTGTTACTTTTAGGTCTCTCCAGTCGAGCAGGACCTGCTCATACCCACCACAGACACAGAGTCATCTTTTTCAAACAGTCCAAACCCAGGAAACAGAGGCTCAGTGAAGGAGAAGGTGCAGGTGTAAATGTGGGACAATTCTCCATCAGAAAGAAGGTGAAAGAAGGACAACGATCCAGCCTCAGAGTCCAGGAACACAGACACTCGACTGGAGGGATCGGGGAAGGAGGAGGAGGAAGAGGAGCAGGAGATGTTTGTTATTATGTTGTTGTGATGGAAAGCGTAATCTCCCTTATAGACCCTCAGACTCCAGGACTGATCATTGGCTCCAAACTCACTCTCCGCTCCTGTCACTCTGCGTATGATTCCTCTGTGGCTCACAGCTATATCCACCCACCCTTTCCACTCCACCTCCCAGTAACAGCGCCCCCTCAGGCCAGTGCTGCTCAGGACCTGTCTCTGCTCTGTAAATCTGTCCTTATGATCTGGACACTGCTGCTCCTCTTCCTCAAACTTCACTGTCCATTTGTCCTCAGACAGTTTGAGGTTTCTGTGAGCTGTGTTTGGATCCAGAGAAAACTCACAGGAATCTGAGGAGACAAAAATGTGATGTCAGGTGATGTTTTCAAGCAATTCAAACGTGCGAGTATCCTTCCTTCATTAACTGGCCACCTCGCCTGTTGCTTGCTGCACAGCTGTAATTTGATTGGTTGTTATCAAGGGCGTACGTACATTAACTTTGATACATGAATTGAGGTAACGGGGTCGCAATAGCTACTTTCTATTTTCAAAAGACTAAAAAAAATAAAAATAAAGGACAGAACATCCGTGGCTATTTCCAAACGCAACATTATGTCTCCATTATCAAATCAAGACGGCTCAGTTTTACAGGTAATGTCATCTGTTGTGATAATACCGCCACTAAACACGGACATTTTAAAGTTTTATATTGTCCCCTTTTGCAGTGCTGTTTTCAGTTGGCAGAGGGTCAGGAGAAGGATGTCCAAACTGAAAAGGACAGTGGTGATTGAATGTTGATGATGAGCTTGTTATAAATGATAATTTATGAGTTTTACTTAAAAGCATGTATTTTAAAAAGTTTGTTTTATCAAATACTTAGATATTAGATTACGAGATATTAGATTTTTCGGGAATCTAGTGTCGTATAAGTAAATATTTCTTTGAGCACTCATAAATGATGTGCAGTTAGGCAGCTATGATATAAATCATATTACAATTTGTCTTGTTGGTTCAGTGTTATGGTCATGTTAATGTCATTTGCAGCCAAACAACACTGTTAAAAAAAAGCAAACATCAAGTATTGGAGGCCCCTACACACTGGACACTGCAAGCGCAGTAAGAGCCGTGTGCCTCTTCTTTGCAGAGTAGACTTGTGTGTCGTGGCATGCATACACACCATACTTTGCGAGTCTTTCCACTTCAAATGATGCGTGTGGTTTGTAGAGGGCGTTAGAACCTGCGCCAAACACAGGCGCTACCTTCAGTAGCTCTGGCTCTGCATGTGTTAAAGTCTATTTCTTTGAATGAGAAAAGATGCCACAAGCTCATTATAAACTAATTATGGTTCTGACTATAGTCATTGAGTGATTTATTCGAAAGCTAGAGTTCTGGTCTCACAGTGACACTAAGTGTAGTTTTTGGCTCTGAAAATTGAAAGTGGTTCACCTCTCAGATCAGTGACAATAAGGAGGTTTGAAACATTTAAACTGTTGAACTGAATGAGAAACAAAGACTCACACTTCCTCAAACCTGGAACCATCCACTGTTCTCCTGCAGGGTCCAACCTGAAACACACAAGGCCAGTTTAGACCTGGACCAAAGACCAAGACCTGGACCAGGACTAAAAGCTTCATAGACTAGACTAAAGCAGGGTCAAACCTGAGCTCCTGCAGCGGGCAGTGTGGGTCGTCCTGTAGAGCCTTCAGCAGCTCTGATGAACCGCCTGGATTATTGTAGCTCAGGTCTAACTCTCTCAGATGGGAGGGGGCGATGCTTGGATGAGAGGAGGCGGGATTCAGAGCTGAGGCCAGAGCAGCCCCGCCCATCTCTGAGATCAAACATCCAGAAAGCCTAAAGACAGACAGTGTTACACTCATGTGGACACAGAGGCATCATGGGAGTCTCACCTGAGAGTGTGGAGTGCACAGGGGGCACTTTTCAGACCAGAACACAGCAGCTCCACTCCTGAGTCCTTGAGGTTGTTGTTACTGAGATCTAGGTGTGTGAGACAGGAGGAGCTGAGGACTGAGGCCAGAGAATTACAGATGGAAGAGGTCAGATCACAACCCCTCAAGCTGAGGACAGAGACACATTAGAGACTAGAACATCAACAGAAGAGATCAACACAGTCTGGACTCACAGGGCTTTGGTGGAGGCTCTGACCACCGGCAGCAGACCCAGGAGAGCTCTCTCTGAGGCCCGATATTTCCTCAGGTCAAACTCCTGCAGGTCTGAGTCTGAGGACAGTAAGACGAGGGACAGAGCCGACCACTGAGCAGGAGAACTCAAGTAGGAGAGTTCATTATTTCTCATGTAATTCTGGATCTGCTTCTCCAGACTGAGGTCGTTCAGCTCCACCAGACAGTGGAGCAGGTTCAGGCTTCTCTCTGCAGACAGACCCTCTTCATTCAACTTCCTTTTAATGTACTTAACTGTCTTCTCATTGGTCCCTGAGCCAATTCCTGTCTGAGTCAGCAGACCTGACAGCAGCCTCTGATTGGTCGGCAGAGACAGCCCCAGCAGGAAGCGCAGGAACAGGTCTAGGTGTCCGTTTGAACTTTGTAAGGCCTGGTCCACAGCACAGCAGTAGAAGTATTCCTCAGACTCGGAGGAGTGTGCTGTCTTTAGCAGATTCTCTCCAGAGCTGTAGAAGGTCTGATGGACGTGTAGAGCAGCCAGAAACTCCTGCACACTCAGATGGATGAAGCAGTAAACCTTGTCCTGGTACAGGCCTGGCTCCCCTCTAAAGACCTGTGTGAAGACACCGGAGTACATTGAGGTGACTTCAGCGTCCAGCCCACACTCTCTCAGGTCACAGTTGTAGAAGATCAGGTTTCCTCTCTGCAGCTGCTCAAAAGCCAGTTTTCCCAGAGACTTCACCATCTCCCTGGTTTGTGGAGTCCAGGGAAGCTCTGCCCCTGATCCTTGCTGATACTTGATGTTCTGGACTTTGGCCTGCACCACCAGAAGGTGTGTGTACATCTGTGTGAGGGTCCGGGGCAGCTCTGGTTCCTCTGTTTGTTCCAGAAGCTTCTGTAGAACTGTGGAGAGGATCCAACAGAAGACAGGGATGTGGCACATGATGTGTAAGCTGCGGACGCTCTTGATGTGGGAGATGATCGCTGTGGCCTGTCGCTCGTCTCTGAACCTGTTCCTGAAGTACTGCTCCTTCTGCGGGTCGGTGAAGCCTCGGACCTCAGTCACCATGGAGACACACTCTGCAGGAATCTGATTGGCCGCCGCTGGGCGTGCGGTGATCCAGAGGTGAGCGGAGGGAATCAGGTTTCCCCTGATGAGGTTCACCATCAGAAGGTCCAGTGAGACACACTCTGTGGGGTCTGAGAGGACACGAGAGCTGTTGAAATCCAGAGGAAGTCTGCACTCGTCCAGACCGTCAAAGATGAGGAGCACCTGGAGGTCTTCAAAGCTGCAGAGATCTTTGGATGGACTGAAGAAGTGGTTTATGAGTCCCACCAGGCTGAAGCTTCTGTCCTTCAGAACATTGAGCTCTCTGAAGGAGAAGGGGAACAGCAGCTGGAAGTCCTGATGAGCTCCGCCTTCAGCCCAGTCCAGACTAAACTTCTGAGTCAGCACAGTCTTCCCCACGCCGGCCACGCCCTTCATCAGCACTGTTCTGATTGGCTGTGGTGAGTGTGGGCGGGGCATAAACATATCTTCACAGGTGATGGTGGTCTCTGGACTGGGTGGTGTCCTGGGCGCACTCTCCATCAGTCTGACCTCATGTTCCTGGTTGACCTCTGAGGCCCCGCCCTCTGTGATGTAGAGCTCTGTGTAGATCTGGGTCAGGGGGGCGGAGTCTCCTGGTTTAGCCACGCCCTCAAACACAAGGCTGAACCTCTGCTGCAGATGCCTCTTCAGTTCATCTCTACAATCTCCAACACAGCTTCCTGAAGAAAGACAAACAGCTGAGAACTCTAAATTAAATGAGTTAGGGTTAGTCAACAAAGTGTTTGATTTGCCAACACAGATCAGAGAATCAAACAGTTCAAACACAGGAAATGCAATGGAGTGTCCATAAATGTTTATACATTTTCTGTCAATGTCCTGGATCACTTGACTTCGGGTGCGCAGGGTTCGGCTTGTGTTTCAATAGAGTTCAGAAGATTGATTGATTGATTTATTGATTATTTGGTTGGGACAGTACATGAACACATCACTCCGGATTGTAGTCATGGGCTAATTTCCATCCAGGCCCCACCCACGAGTCTGTCATGGACCAATTGTCACAGATTTAAAAGTGCTGGGAGGACACAGACGAGAGAGGGGGAAGGAAGGCAACGAGCGGATCAGGGGAACGGGACGGGGGACAGCAGGCGTGGGCCTGTTGGAAGCGTGGCGAAGATGGGCGAAAGAATGAGAAAGGGAAAGGCAAGAGGCGTGCGGGACGAGGCACAAGAGCGGGCGTGCGGGACCAGGCACAAGAGCGGCGTGCGGGACGAGCCACAGCAGTGGGATGAGCCACTGCGGGACCAATTGGCCAGCCACTCAAGGCGCAAATACTTCACCTGAGCGGCCGGTGAGTGGCACCACTAAGGGGCGGGGGTTCCCGGGGCCAACGTTCCCTCACTGGCGGTCCTGTTTTTATCCCCTCGGGAGCGGGTGAAAGGCGCAGCAATCTTGAGGCCCGGAGTGGAGTGCTTTGGGGTCAGGACGCAGGAGCACCGGGACTGCCCACTGCAGCTTCTTTTTACTTTTTTTACTGACTGGTTTTATGGCGATCGCTTGTTTATTTTAACATTTTATTGTAATAAATCTATTTTCAATCGTATCACCTGGGTTTATTTGCACTGCTCACTCCAGTGGTTTTTTACCTGTGTTTTTAAAGTAGGTCTTAGGTCCTTTAACCTAGGTGGTGCTGTTGACCTTTTTTAATTCAGTGAATTTTAATTTGGTTTTATGTTAAATTAAGTGTTAAACTCCTTCCCTCTGTCACAATAAGGCTGGCCCAGGTGTTTAGTTGTCCTTTAAAATACGTTTTTTTGAATTTGATTCTATACTCCACAGGAAGCTGGACAATTTAGGAGACGCTGCCAACATTACAGTAGTCAAGCCTTGATGTGACGATTACGCGAATAATTCTTTCTGCATCACTTTTAGGAAGGATACTCATAATTTTAGCTGACGTTGCACAGAAGGAATGTGAAAAAGAAACAGAAGCACGACTAACAAGATCAACCAAGAACAAAGCAACACAGAAAAACCTCATATCAGCAATATCGGACCACTACAAAAGAGAAACTCACATAATAGACTGGGGCAATGCAAAAATAGTAGGAATGGAACAACATAAATACAAAAGATTAAAAAAAATAAGGAAGCCAATGGAGTGGTAGCCCGGGGAGGTGGTCCCTCTCTACAAGAAGGGGGGCCGGAGGGTGTGTTCCAATTATCGTGGGATCACACTCCTCAGCCTACTCAAAGGTACTGGAGAGGAGACTTCGGCCGATGGTCGATGGTCAAAGGGGACAAGTATTTTTTGGTTGAGATCGGGGCTGGCCGAGATCGGGTCGCGGTGGACCGCTTTAAGCCTGCTCATGTGCCGTGTCAATGGTGATGCACGTCCTTATGAGGAGTAGCATGTGCGGCAGAGGCAGTGGGTACCGCAACTCGATGCATGTGGCAAAAGCAAGAGATTGTGGGAGTAGTAAACGGGAGACGAAGAGCTGAGTCTCACTGTACTTTAGTTCCAACACTCCTCACCCACAGGTGGCAACACTCCCACTCTTATCCGCTATCCCCGGAAACCCCTGCCCCTTCACAATGATACATTTGAGTGTGAGTTCACGAGACGGTCCAAATTGACACTTAACTGGATTCAAAATCAACCCGTGTCCGGTGAGCCGCTCGAAAAGGAGGCGGGGGTGCAAGCTGTGCTCCTCCAAGGAAGGACTCGCCACCAGTATATCGTCCAGATACACAAATTTGAAGGGCATGTCTTGCAAAACAGAGTCCATTACAAGGTCTGCGCTGCCCCTTTAAGGCCAAATGGCATTCATAAAAACTCGAAAAGGCCAAAAGGCGTAATAACAGCAGTCTTAGGGACATCTTGTGGGTGGGCAGGTACCTGATGGTAACCTCTAACAAAATCAACCTTAGAAAACATCCTGAATGTGGGGGGCCGGGTACCTGTTGTTGGTTGTGGCGTTGTTGAGGCGACTGAAATCTCCACACGGGCGCCAACCACCGTCTGATTTGGGAACCATGTGCAAAGGCAAAGCCCACAGGCTGTTTGAACGGTGCACAATTCCAAGCCTCTCCATGTTGGCAAACTCTTTTTTAGCAACGATCAAGTTTGCCCAATCTAAACGGCGTGCACGAGCAAAAAACGGCGGGCCCGCGGCAGTGATATAATACTCCACCCCATGCTTAGCTACTGCAGCAGAAAACGTGGGAACCGTAAGGGCAGGAAACTCTGCTAACAGACGCTGGTACGAGTCACCAACGGCCAGCATGTTAGCCAGACATGCCCTGCTTTTCTCAGCGCACGTGGATAGGGATCAAAAGTCTGCACCCAGAATAGGAACCGAAACAGAAGCTATCACAAAGTCCTGGCTAAATTCCTGGCCATTAAAACACACTGTCAAAAACTTGGTGCCAAAGGTGCGGATGGAAGTCTCGTTAGCTGTGCCCCATCCCTTCCCAGTTGTGTTGGCCGTGGAGGGGAGTACGATGCTACGTTGCGCTCCTGAATACACGCGAAAACGACGTCCTGAAGCCCTATCCTCAATGAAAAGCAGCCTGTCACGGTCGCCGGTGAAGGCAGCTGCTAGCGAGCGCCGGCCTTCTCGTTTCCCGACTGCTGAAA